TCATCATCATATCATGTTGCCATCATTATACACAAATAATTGGCTTATTCGTTTTCTCGTATTTTTTTTAGGCATTGTAATCGTAGCAATAAGCTGTGGAATTCTCATTACAATAATGGACAAAAGCAGTGGGTCTAACTCTAAAAGCAATACTTAAAAGGACCCAGGTATTCACAATAACAAAAGATACGGTCTCACTAATCCGCACGTGCCTCATTCTACTATCTCAACCCCACGTCCAAATCTGTTCTCATTACCAAAAACAACGAACTGAATCCCATCTTGTGGTAGCCAAAAAACTATTAGGACGTTTGCTTTATAAAAATACAAACAAAACTATGACATAAAAAAAGAATGCATATCTACTGGTGGTATCGTAAAAATCTTCACCACACAAGGAGTTCAATAGACGCATTCAGTCACGCACAGGGGGGTAAAGGAGATTTCGGTTTATTTGGTTTTTACAGGTTCAAAGTTTACATCAACACTCGAGTCTTCTCTGACTTTTGTTACTGAATAGTGAAACCTTTAAGTGTTTACATCTACTCAACGAAGTTTGGAATACAAAAGTTTCCAATGTAGCTACTTGGTTGGTTCATACAAGGAGGTGCTATTCAAACACGGTTAAATTACCATTTAAGTTAGCTTTAATCTCTTTTACATATTCAAGATGTTTGCTACGGTAGAGCACGATTTTTAAAAGTTGAAAAATCTTGTCCTATTGTAGCAAAAAATCGTGAATCCTGTGTGTGTGTGTGTGTGTGTGTGTATGTGTGTGTGTGTGTGTGTGTGTGTGTGATGTAATGCTGCGTTCATTAGAACTTGTGATGTCGGTGTTTCCCAGTTCACTTGTGAAACGCGTTCATCTCGTTGGTGAGAACTCGAGTAGAATTTTCTTCCTCGATTTGCACAAGCAGTGTAAAAAATGGCGGATGTAACACAAACTATGCACAACGAGCATAGGTATTAATAGCAATTTGTTTTTTAAGTAATATTATTTCAGATAAAAAAAAAAGAATGTTGTTTGTATGTTTTATTTGCAACCCAACATATTTATTGCAATTATTTTAAGTAATAGGGGCCTATTATTTCAGATTAAAAAAAAGTTTTTGTGTATGTTTGATTTCCGAACACATTGCAAAAGTGATAGCAGCTATTTAGCGTTCGTCAAATGAATGCACTCTTCTTGTGTACTCGCATGTTACAAGTTGTGAAATCTGTTTTCACAAGTTCTAATGAACGCAGCATAAGGCCTGGCCCGGGATTTATCAATATCAGCTTAGCAATGTCTTAAGTCAAAAAAGTTAAGATGTCCCTAATAAATATCTTAAGCTGATTTATTTACCCAATCTTAGCGAAGTCTTGGCTTTAAAATCGTCTTAGATGGCGCCAACGTACAATCGACATTCTAATTTTAAGCAACTTTTAAGCTAAACAATATGGATAAATTTGACTTAAGCACAAAAATGAACTTAAGATGAATTTAAGCTGATTTTATAGTTTGATAAATCTGGCCCCTGGTTTTCATAAAAATCGCTACGCGTATCGCCGACTTTTGGCGACGCTGATTGTTTAGTTGAATCAAGGAGCGTTCCGATTGCGTCGGGGTCAGCTACACAGTTCAAGGATTGCAGTGAAAACGTTGTAGCGACTGTGTAGCGATTCTATGGAAACAATTAAGCTAAAGGAGCATCACGTTTGGTTGCCATACAATCGCTACACACGCTCGCCAACAGCTTTCTTTGATACTGATTGGTCGGTCGAATCGGCTGCATGGCTGCATACGCAGTAAAACGATTGCACTGAAATAGTATAACTTGCAATCTCAATTGTTATAATATCTCCAGAATTTATATTTTAAGAAAGGATATGTATGGTATAGCATTGTACATTTGGTTGTCCTGGCAATAGCATTGATGAACAGTGCGCGTCCCCTGATCCTGAGTCACGGTAATAATTAGGGTTTTATTTATTATTTTAATTTTATTGCTATTTTACATAGGCCCTACTGTATGTGGGTGATGAATGAAATGATGGATTGATTGATTGATTAATTCATCGAGTATAGGACATAAATTAGGCCTATGGACGGCACAATTGTAATACAAATAAATACAATCAAAGCAATGTATTTTTTTCTTTCTTTTTACCCTCATCTTTGACAGCAACCAATATCACCACTGTGAAATAAAAGGACATCCAAAATGTGTGCCTCTGAATAATTTCCGAATTTACCGTGGAAACCGAGGAAAAATTCTAATCACCAGCGCAGTCTTCTACGGAACCTTATTTTCACCCATAACGAGCACTGCTACTTTTAGACAACCGCAAACAGCCCTGAAGGTATTGGTCAGATAGAGATCTTGTATTGATGGGATTAGCGAGGAAACGCACAGGAGCAATCTGTTTGAACTGACCATGACTGGAGAGCCGGTATTCTAGAACAACCGATTCTAAATGATGAGTTTCAGGTCATTTACTGTAGGTAGAATCGGGTGTTTAGAACCAGATGTGACAGGTTTATTAAAAGACTTTACTGGGGTAAACTTAGTAGCCTAAATTTTTATCTCTATTACTGTCAATAGTTTTATGGCAATAAATTGTATTGTATTGGTTAAGACAATAGTACCGACGTTTGCGTAACATATCGAAATACCCCCTCTAGAATATTATTTTGATGACGTAATATCACCTGTACTGAGTAAGTACAAATTATTAAACCGAGACTCGTATTCGTATTAGAATCGCCAATGTAGGTGTGTACGGATGTCAACCGAAATTCGCATGCGTAATAGAATGGCAAATGTAGGTGTGTACGGATATCTACCTTCTGTTTCCAAGGGGCTTTAATGATTGGATCTCCGTTATGTGTCAGAAAAATGTTCCAATAAATAAGACGGGCATTGTGACAATGGACGAGTGTGAACCGAACCAAGATTCACTGGTATGGAAACAGTGTCTGATCGCAATGTTTATTTCCTGCACAATCCTCCTCACTGTTGCCACTAACATTTTGAACATGGCAATTATTAAGAACAACACCCATATCAGCAGTGTCACCCGCATTTTCTTGAATTCGCTAACAGTGGCAGACCTCTGCGTCGGCATCGTCTGCGAGCCATTTGGTTTGGCCTCTGTGATTGCCAACCAGTGGCCGCTAGGTCAACCAATATGCACAGTGGTGGGCTGTACAGTGAACGTTTTCTGTGCTGTATCGATATCTTCCTTGTTTCTGATCAGCATGGACCGATACATCGCGATCACTAGACCCCTTCGATATCACAGTATTTTGACATCTGAACGGGCTAAGAAAATGGCGGCCATCAGCTGGGTTTTCTGTTTAGTTTACATGCTTGGATGTTCATATGTATGGGGTCCTTTTGTCGAATACCATGACTTCGTTTACGGTTGCACAATAAGCTGGAATAATTACAACGAAAAAGTTCCAATTCTGACATCAAGTCTGATATTCGTAGTAATTCCGTCATTAACGATCTTCTTTATTTATTCACGTCTTTTTTGGATATCATTCTGCCATTCAAAAAATATCGCCAGAAGTGATCATCAGGCAGTGCCAACCGATTGTCCTGATCAAATATTCCGTCGCAATTTGATCTCTCTAAAGGATAGCAAAGCACTTCGAACCTTCTTCTATGTCTGGATGGCGTTTAACTTTGCCTGGGGTCCTTTCGTCGGCTGTAATATCTATACGATCATCGAGGAACAAGACTTAGGACCGTCCATCGAGTTTATTATAACATGGCTGGCACTATCAAACAGCTGGTGGAATGTGATCATCTACTCTACTAATGCTAGTTTTCGTCAAACTGCTGCCGATATGTTACGTCGTTATCGTTACTACAGGACTAATCGACGGTCGATCAGTAGAGTTCACTGTATTTCTAGACAGCCTTCAAGCAACGTATGACCACGTATGATCAATGTCAAACTTGTGTTATCACAAGATTATCTTGGTATGTAAGCCGGTGGTCACTGTTGGTTGATGGGCATTGGGGTTTATGTTGGTGTATCTCCACGGAGTTGCACTTAAAGACAGTGTCTGCCGGGCATATTTTCTAAAGGCAAAGAGCAGAGAACCTAAGATTTTTGGGGCAGCGTCGATTTGCAACTGAAGTTGTTTGTATTTCTTGAAGAAGCAATGTCCCAGTGATATTTTATTCTTGTAACACTGTATCGACAAAACACACTATATTTTGTAATCGACAAGAACTTAAGGTATTAACATAGTCTATATTTTTTCGTTTGCTGTAAGTAGCAGTTTGAAGAGCGAGGGAACTTTTGACAGGATGAAAAATGTCAAAATTATGCTGTAGACGCGTGAGCAAAATACCTAACAAACTGTGTCTCTATTGGGTCTAATTATTTTAAAGTCTCGTCTGAGCTTTTTGTGATATGAAGTTCCTCCATTTTCTAACTACATTTTGCTTTTCTCTTCTTGTCATTTCTTATTCATCACTCTAACTTTCTTACGTTTCACCAGTCGGAACTTTCTTACGTTTTACCAGTCGGCACTTTCTACACAATTGAAAACTATCAAAACTCCGCTTTGGGAATCTCGCTCCACACCCGTGATGGCGCCAGGACCTGCCCGACGGACGGGCTAAAGGCCCCGACGGGGGGGGGGGGCTAGTGGAGCGAATCGAGTCTCACTTGGCTGGTGGCCAGGGGGCCGCCTAGGGCCTCCGGTGGGGTCCAGGGGGCGAAGCCACGGATATTTGACGAATTATGGCGAATTTTTATTACTTATTTGATAGGCATCGTCGAGCTACTATAATATGACTTCATGTAGGCTATGTTTTCTAATGTCGAAATTAGCTTCCAAAACCAAAACATTTTGAATAAAACAAGAAACAACCCAGCTAGCAAGCGACGTTGACCCGACGTTGGTTGAAGGTCAAAAAATTACGTTGGCACAACGTACTTACACAAAGGTTGGCGCGACGGCCGTTTTTCCATCGGCCCAACGTGGATTCAGCTTGTTGGAAAGACGTCGGCCCGACTAGTTGGATCA